GTCCCTAGATGACAGGCACAGCAGAAGTGCTTGTTTCTTTTAGTCCAGTTCCCGCTGGGCTTCCTTACTGTTCTTTCTTCACTCTGGCAGAGAAAGAGGTGTTGTCAAGCAAAATGGCAGCTTACACAGTATATGACGCTATGTTTTTCCCCACAGCTGTTTTCATGATTGTCATAAAAACTGTAGTTTGTCAATTAATATAAGTAAAGCTATAGCTTAAGTCAATATGATTTCAAAGTGACTTAAGGTGTAAGCGTTAACTAATGGTTACAGAGGGCTTATCAGTGCAGCGATTTAATGTCAGAATGAAGAGAGCTACAAAGACAGATTTGCGCTATATATAACAGCAAAATCTAAGCACGGGGACAAATGGAGGGACATGCATCCTTTCACAAACCCAAACACAGCCCGGAAGAAAGTGAAGTTAATACTCATTATTAAACAGAAAGATTGATGCCTTCTTAGAGCTCCATGCAGATGCCATTGAGAACACGGTCCTTGGTTACTACAGTATTTCCTATTTCCTAACACAATTTCTGACAGGTATTTGCTACTCTTAACCTTAAAAATACATTGTTCTGAATGAGTAGTAATACTACATATTTCATCCCAGTAGCATGTTGCAAAAAAAAGTTTAAATCAATACCTGTCTTCTTCCCTTCATCTTTTGCTTTAAACGTGATCTTCCCCCCATAAAGTCTCAAGGTTCAGGACTTTGCTAACCTATGCACTAGTTCCAAGTCTATCTTGCCTGGATGTTCCCTGGAAGTTCCCAGTATGACATGCTACAGCCCAAGACCTCTCAAAGCCAGTACTGAACCTGACAGAGAGTATCACATCTGCATGGAGAATCAACACTACACAAGTCATTCTGAGGGCAGTAAAGAAAGACAGGAGTGCCTGTAAGTTACTTTTGCTTATCTGCTCTATCTCAATCAGCAAACAAACTCAAACTTATTTGTTTAAATGACTTCATACAGCCATCATTTATACTCCTAGACATTCAGTTTCAGTAAAAGGGAAAATTTATAGCTCGATGAGTGGATGCACAACTAAATTATAATAATCAGGATATAGCTAAAAATAGTAGACATAGGATGTCAAACAAAATTATCAGAGGTTGTTAAATACTTTGATTTAACACCCCAGTACACACACTCCACAGCTTCCTGTATACAAAACATAAGCAATTGTCTGAACTGCAAGTTAACAAGACTGCCTTCATTTTATTTCTAAGTGAAATCAATCTTGTCAGAATATCATTTTAATGGAGCAGTTACACCCCAGGTGTTCCTAACCAGCTCAACAACAACTTGGTGCAAAGCTCATAGCTCTGAACAGATGCCAGCTCTTGGTTTATTCACCTGCTAAGGAAATAATCTTTAGTTTTATCATGCTGGACTGTTCAATCCATTTTTACTTAGCTCTAATTTACAGAAACCATGGGAATTCCCAAAATGCTTCTGAGGTGCTGCATGGTAACACAGTCATAAATTAAATTCTTAACACCTTTTTTTTTTCCTTCATATCCTCTCACGACCCTCCCACCCCCCAACAAATACTTTAGGGTACTAATCCCAAACTCTTCCTTGTAACAGTCTTATATAGAAGAAAGAGCAGTTAGAGAAAATAAAGTGTTGCGGGTTTTTGCTACTCCTGAAGAATCAACTCCTTGAACTGCAAGTGTTCACTTATTCTTCCATGTACTAAAAAGGAGACCAAACTAGCCAAACAGGTAATAGCTCTTGTTTGACTGAGACGCTTAACTAGAAGAGACATGTTCCCACACTGCTGCTTATCCCAACATTGTCACTCTATGGATACAATACACAAGAGTAAACATGTTGAAAAGTTGATATGTAACATCTAGCAAGGGAGACGAAACTTAATTATAAAATAACTTCAACACAGAAACACGGCATTTTAAGTTGATAAGCGAAGATTATTTTTACTATGTCTATCAATTTAATCTCCTTTACTGTTAGAAAACATCTCAGACATTAAGGGATTTAAAGTTCCTAACAATTAAAAATATCAATATTATTAGTTTTGAAGAATCTGTCATCACATCTGCTGAAGCAGAATTGAACAAAAATGGTACTCCTGCTTTCAGATTATGAACAAACCCGTATTTTGCCTTATTTCTTGGATTCAATTAAAGTTATTAAATCGACTTTCATATTTTTGCTGCCGGGGAAGGTGGAAGAGCAATAGTGAGCAGGATGAGATCAAGAAAGTAAAAGAAGAGAGCCCACTTGTTTAATTTTTTAAAGAACAGAATCATGGCAATAAGAATCGCCCTTCACACAATACCAACACTAGGCTTCTTAGACCTACGAAGGTGTAATTTTTAGAACAAAATCAGATTTCAGCCATATCCGGACATTTGCCACTTTCACATTTGGATACATTACTTGAATGTAAACCAGACAAAACCGGAAACCTATGACCCACTTACCCATAAAATTTGCAGCAACCCTGTAAACAGGCTCAAGTTAATGTCATAGTTTTGACCCTGGTTGGCAGCCAAACACTACAACAAGCACTCATTCACACTCCCGGGGATGGGGGAGAGAATTAACGGGGGAAAGGGAAAAGGGACTCGTGTGTTAAGAACAACTTAATAACTAAACTACAGTAATATTGAAAATTATAATAACAGTAATATATACAAACACACATATGAGTGATACACAGTGAAACTGCTCAGCACCCACTGACCACGACTCAGCCCACTCCTGGCTAATGGTCCCAGAGCAGGGAGAGTCCCAAAACAGCAATCCCAGAAAAGATGTAAGAGTCCGAGCTTCCGAGAGACTGAGATTACCCTGAGATAGGGGGCAACCCAGAGGGAGACAACCCAGAGCAAGAGAGAATACTTCAGGACAGATCCTCATGTCTATGCTGGGCATGATGTACATGATATGGAATAGACTATTGGCCAATTTGGGTCTCAATCCTAAACCTGAGGTTGAATCCTAGGCTACTAGTTGGGCTGTGCTCCCTCCCAGCTTCTCCTGCCCCTGCAAACACTGGCACAGCAGAGAAGCCAAAAAGTCCTTGACTGTCCTGCCAGCAACTGTAAACATCAGTATGTTATCAGCCTTCTTCTCAGCACAACACAACCTCTCACTAGCTACTATGAAGAAGGTAAGGTAACTCTGTCCCAGCTGAAACCAGGACAGTTAAGAAACCCCAGACCAAACTGTGAGAAACAATAGGAAACTGGAAACAAACATATAATTCTCTGAAATCAAATTATTGGTTTTTTTCTATGCCAATGATTTTTCTTATGTTTATACACATCCTCTCTTGCACTCTTATTTAGATTTTATATGTTACTATATTGGCTTATACAGATACAAACTTCTGTTCACACCAATTCTGCCTCAGAGCTAACAAAAATAGCTGAAAAATTTCATCTCTTCAGCCCATACTCCAACTATAAAGCTTTATATCTCTTAAATTTGAATATTATTAGCAACAGGTAATATGTAGCATGTAAAAATGACTACATGATCAAATATTTCTGGAACTTTGAAGCACGCAGCTATCAATTGCCTTATTTATCTATTACAATGTTTAATCTTTTTCCTTCACACTAGCTCTGAAATGGATATGAAACAAAATTTCATTATTTATCCATAGAATCAATAACATTTTTGATAAATTGTTAGATGGTTTTGTTTTGTGCTCCACATTCCTCTTGCCACCCTGATCATGTAGAGTGAGGTTATCCATTCTCTGTGGCTGAAGGTAAAATGTCTGTCCAGTAACAAAAATATAATTCACTATGATTAATGCTATCACTAACAAGAATTTGTTTTCTTGAAATAGCACATTCAGAATAGCAGTTCAGATAAGACTAGGATGGATTTTTATATCTGTATTACAAAGTGTTCCTGATTTTATTGACAGTTCCTCCCCTTTTGAGAAAGCATTAGGTGCATATTCCAGCATTGCAAAGATCAGCCACAACAGATGTATACTTTCAACTGAATTCCAAAATTGTACAATGTGGGGATGCTTGTTTAAGAGATCCAGAGCCTGAGCAGGAAACTTTGGTACCTGTTTCATATATAAATGTTTTACAGCCTTTTTCCATGCTTTCTTGCTGAGCTCTGCTTCCTGTACAGTTACATTATTCTCCGAAATTCATCTTCTGTCATTACTACACAATTTCCTGTCGAGTACCGAGGAGACCAGTGCCAGCATATGCTGTGACTTTTCCCCCAAAGTTTCCCAGTTTATAGTTTTGAAGTACAAGCAGGTTCTAAGCAGTCTAAACAAGTAGGTGTACCATTCGAGGGGCATAGAAAGTTTAACACTGCAAGCACACTGAAATCTACAAACACATTAAAAAATTAAAGAAAACAAAAAAAAGAAACAAAAACCAAAACCAACCACACACGCACAGAGTTTAAGTTTTCTCCTCTAATTTTTCATTTATTTTAAAATGTTAAAACTAAAATACACATTGAAATCCAGACCCATCATAGCACACTGTGGTGAAAAAAACCAAGAGTTCGGCTTAAAGTTTATACTACAATGATTTTTTTAAAACCCCTTCAAGGTAAGAAGACAATAAGGTACAAATCTTACAGTGAACAGGGTAAATTCATTGAATCTCTTCATAAAACTACTTTTTTCAGGGGGTCAGGGGAAATCAGTTTAGACATTTTGTTTGGATTTTAGGCCCCTGTTCTGCAATTCCTGGCTCCCACCTGATACAAAACTGTTATGAACGTGATCATGTCAAAATACAACAAAGGCAGAGTTTGTTTGTTATTAAATGCCACTAGCAGAAGGAGATATTTTTGTTTGTTTTGAGGCTTGGCAAACTCAAGTAGCAAAGTGAAACTTCATAGCCAGAAGGCTTAACCACATTAATGCAAAAATCTGAAAAAAAATCCTCTTAATAACAGTCATAATTTCCTACATCTTGTTTGAGACCTATTAAAACACATGCAGATCTGTCAGGTAGTTACCCCGAGACATACCTAAGACACCATATTCGGAAAGGGAGCTGTTGCACACAGTATAGGGGGCCTGCTGCTCCCAGAGGTGATTCATGGGAACACACGTTCTCTTGTCAACTTCTTGATCATGAAGCACGTGATGACGATGGCTGCAAATAGTTGTTACAAGAAATTTATTGGCTAAGAATAACTTTTGGCTTTAACAGAGCTATTTTCAAAAATAAACCATCAAAGCTGTGTTCTAGAAAGCATGCGAGCAACACAGTTATCTTTGCTTTACACAACACCTTGGTTGGGTTGAAACCTAGTGATACAATCCCATGTCTAAATACAATTGCTGCACTATAAGGACTTCCACTGACTCTCCACGCTTGTTCTCAAGGACTCAAAGAAACTGGGAGGAGAGGGGAAGGGGTGGGGAGGCTGTTGCTATAAACCAGACTGATTAAAGTAAAACAAAACAAAACCAATTAAAAAAAAAAAAGAAAAAAAATTATTAAAAACATTTCACTCTGCCTCTGGCAAATTCTATTAATCTTTTCCTTAAAACAACTGTGTCTTTTAGGCAAAAAACTAATCTAATCTAATCTCAGCACCAAGGCTTGAAGCAGTTGTACCCTCTTTCCTCCTATTTCCACTCACATGCACCACTTACAATTCTCTAGAACACCATTAATCAGCATTAGAATGGGGCACCAAGGAACACTACCAAAACAGAGATGACTGAAGTAATTACTGTAATCCATTAACTCTCTGAGCAAACTAACTGAGTGAATCACACCAATATGTCCAGCTTCACAACTGCTAACATAAGGACAGTTATTATACGGGTAACAACTACTGTGGGTTGTACAGCTGCCAACACTGAAATGCAGACTGAATTCTTCTGTACTTCTCTTTACTATAATGAATGTTAGCAAAAGAGCTCTGAAATGTATTTAGAAGTCAACAATATAGGGCCTGGAAAAGACAGAATCTTTGAAGAAGAGCACATGGAGGGAGGTAAATATGGGAAAATACACATGCCAGACAGCTGTTAGGCAGAAAAAATCTTTACCACTGTCACTATATTTTTGTCATTCAGACAAAAATAGAAGGCCTAGCCAGGCAGTAAGCTTCTTAAGAATGAAGTTTTGTGTTTCCCCAGCAAAAGGTGACTACAATGAGCATAGATGTACAGTGAGAAATACACAGACATGCAAGTCAGATTTTGCTGTTGCGCAATTGTCAGGCTTACTGACATCAAATCAGCGCAGAATTAAGTCCCTCTCTCAGCCTTTCCTTCCCTTCTCCAGAGTGTGTCTCTATGACAAGAAGGGACCCGGTCCTTCTATCTGCAGCTTTATCTAGCTTGTCTATTGATAATGTTAAGTACTGAAATAGGAAGAAAGCAAGTTGTCACATTGAATACTGACAGAAAGTACTGTTTTCTAGACAGCACTTCAGAAGCTCCAAAGTAATGAAAGCACTCCCATTATACTGTTTTCATTATGGCAACCCTGTATTTTCAGTTCTTCCCAAATTCTAGCTGATACTCCTCCTTCAATTAGTCCCAGAGATTTAAGACATTATGTACTTCAAGGATTTTTAGGGGTGAAGAAGAGTCTTCTGAGTACAGAAAGAAGATAAAATGACATATACTTTCTGTGCACTTACAATGTGTTTTTTTCCAATAAAAATGCACTAGCATTTGCAGATGTCTTCAGTTGTTAGGGAAGTTACTCACCTTTATAATAAACGACAAAGAAACCAAACCACAGCTTTACTGAGAACTTCAGTATCTCTTAGATGTGCCTGTACCACAAGCTAACTTTACTTATTCCTGTGATGAAATGAGCCTGAATACAGCGTAACAGGCTAAGTCTTAACACATTTCTACAGAGTTCTCTTCTGCTTAGCAGATCCTCTGACTTCCTTAGCTTCATGACATTTTTTTAATCTCACCCTTTATTGTTCAATTGCCCTATCATATTCATAACAAAAATTCATAATCACACCATAGGCTAGTATTTTGTAGATCCCACTGCCTATCAGGCAAACCCAAAACCCAGTGGCAAAGCAGAAGCGGATTACTATAAACCAAACATCTGCAGTACCAGCTTCAGTCCTGAACTTCACAATAATTTATTTGAACGCCTTTTTGCTCCTTTTCTAAAAGACTGACTAATAAAATCCAAATGGCACAGGAATCCTTAGCTAGTCTTCACCAGTCTGAACAGCTTTTTATCCGAATACATGTTTATTCTTTTTAGCCTATATTGCTGTGGGCACAACAACTCTTTAATCTTAAACAGACATCAAGAAAATCTGGACAACAGTTCTGGAGAATTCTCTTCTACTAGTGAGAGAATGGGAATACAGAGAATCAGCATTCTCAAGACAAGTCTACAGGCATGTGCTAGACATGACTCACCTGAAATAGGTGGGTAGGTTGCTAACAATGAACACATGTTCCTCCCCCAAGTGACGCTCACCACTTTACAAAACCATGATACTGAAATGAAGGAGGATGAGATACTGGGGCAGGGCGGTGGGAGAAGGGCAGAATCTCCCCATTTTCAGTTTTGTTTTCAGGTCATTTCCAAAGGATTTTGTTAAACTGTCATAGAATGGGAGCAAAAAGAAGGAAGACCAAAAGACTGGATACCAAATGAAGCTCAGCACAGAAACAGAGCACTGTACCAGAGAAGACAAGCACCAAGATTCATCTCTCTTTTCTGCAAGCATTCACAATGAAGCACAGTGCAGCTGCTAGTTCATTCACCCCCAGCAACGGGCTTCGCATCAAAGGCTTCAATTAAATACATCATTAACATCTCACTCCACAGAGAATCAGGTAAGACAGCAGAACTGCATATATTTTTACCAAGTGATCAGATTCTGCATTCATTCATGCTCCATAGTCATTAAAAGTCTTGGTACAAAGGATCTTGTTTCATTTAAAACAGCCTTGCCAACTGGCAGTGTGTTTGTTCACAGGATACCCGAGTTCCAAGCAGTCACCACTGGAATGGTATTTAAAAAACTTCAGAATCTGCAGCAGCAAATACCCTTCTTTTACTTCTCAGCAATTATAAGGATTGCAGATGATTTTTTTAGTTAAAAAGCAGAAAAAGAATAATTTCTGCTTTTCAGTGAAAAAAGGAAAAAAAAAAAATCTAAGAACATTTACTCTGCCGTAAACACAATTTTTTAAAATGCTGTGTACAGAGACACAGGAGATTTGATTATTCTTGACTGCCAGAATCTATGACATCCAGATTGATGCTGAATAGCCTCAACTTCCCCTTCCCGGCAGAAGAACATATTGTTTAAAAAAGTCAAGATGTTTCTTTAAGTATGGGACAAAATTTAACAGTTATCTCAGTACTTACCTAAAAGTACCCCTCTCCACATCCTGTCCACTTAGTCGGACATGGATCCCTTCTTTCAGAAAAGAGCCAAAAGCCATGTATTCTGCTAATGCCCAGTCAACAACCCTGTTCTTGGTCATTTCCAAGCGGGCTTTCAAAATCCGAGAGAGTCCTACATTGGAATAAAGATCAGAAATAATTGACCTATTTCAGAGATATTTTATATTCACATTACATTCATCATTCTCCTTCCCCACTGGCTAAGTTAAACACAGATCCTAATAGGGTCTACAAATTGTTCTTATAGAACTGAACTGGTAGCAAAGTAAGATAACTTCTTTCCCAGGCAAAGGGTTGCATAATGTTCACACCTGTTTCAGAAGAAGAAAATAAGATTGTCTGTGTCAGAAACTATTGAGGACGATTAAAAAGACCCATGGTGGAATACTACTTCTTAAAGATTTATTTTCACACTTCTAACACCAAGTATTGTTTTATAAGAGACTGAAAGTATCAGCTATCGGGTTCATGGTATTTTCTTCTCTCTCTCTTTCTTTTTCTTGGCATTTGTCTTATTGGTCTTCAGGAGATGTTACAAATTATAATCAGGCCAAATTAATCAATGCCATAAATATCATATAACTAGGAAATTGTAGCAGCGGCCAACAGATTTTTAGTTGGTAACCAAAAGCTAGTTTTTTTACAGTGAGGATTTTATAACATAAGCCAAAAACACAAGTTGCAAAACTGTGACTTTTAAACAGACTAAAACTTCAAAGCTGCACACACGGCCTTCCATGTTTGAGGCTATAAGCCTAGTGTATTCAGTGCCACTTGACACCATCTTATTTTCACATCTGCACCAATGCTTTTGGCAAGTTGTCCTATTTGTTATTTTCCCGTACTTCCCTTCATTACTTTTGCTATTTTTACAAAAACTGCCCTGTTTTCTTTCCATATAAAACTATTCTCTCACAGAAATTATTGCATTTTAAGTAAAAAAAAAAAAACCCTTTAAAATGTTCTCTCTACAATACACTAAACATTTGATAAAACAAAATAGTCTCCCAATTGTTTCTTGAAAGACTGCGAGATATTAAGCTGTTTCATTCTAATGGAAGGAAAAAGTACTTCAAAGGTGCTCTTCCCCTTCTAATTCTCACAAAGTTTTCTCCTTCATGGCCTCTTATACTGCATAAAAGAATCTAGAAGACCAAAGTTCGCTTTGAACCACAAATCTACCTTATGCACTGGCAAGTATTAGTGTCAATGGTTAATCAAGTTACTAAAGAAAGACCATCTTACATTTTTAATTAGAATGTCTAATATGAGATGTTATTGTCTGACTATAATTTCAAATTTATCAGTGTCGCAGCAAAGTGCAAAAATGTGTAGAATAGTTTTAAAGTTCATCAATTATTATATCTGCTCAACAAGCTTGCAATAGACAACTGGGAATGCCCTATCATCATTACTTGTAAGTGTTTAATTGTCCCAAAGGAACACAAACACATAGAACACCTACAGCAGACACACTCTGTTACTTGATGGATGACTTTGGAGAAGAAAGACTAGCTAGAGATTTTATCGGGGGGGGGCGGAATAAAAAGGAAAATCCTCTTTCTCCTGATCCTAAGTACATTCCCCACCAGCCAAAAAAAAAAAAAGACATCCCTCAACAAAGTGTTTTCATGTTTCCCCATGGAATGAACATGTCATTGCTCCCTGTAAAGCTGATGGACTTCAGCCCAACTAGGGAGAAAAAGAATTAACTCAGAACTTTGACGTAGTGCCAGGCGCTTCTCAGCAGGACAGTCACATTTAACTTCTTACTGTAATAGATGCCAAATTCAGAATTTAATCTCCTCAGATCGAAAGCTAAGACTTTTTCAGAAAATGCTAGATTTGTGCTGTCATCAACGCTCAACAGCAATTTGAAAGAAAAAAATGTGTCTGAACTTGCCCACACAGAGACCATTCAGATGTATTCCCTACCAGAAAGTTATCTAACTAAGGGAAAAGTGTCTTAAATGGACCTCAAATTACCACAGTTTTATCATTAAAAAAAATATTATTAGTGCCTCCTGAGATGGGTGCCTTACTTCCTAGTAGGTCCCACAAACGTGCTGCAGAGAGGCAGCATTTTCCACAAGGATGTGAAGAATAAAAGAAGGTATTAGCTTAATGTTACAAAGGGACTTCTACCTCCCTCAGAAGAAAATCTATTTTAATGAGGTAGGGAAGAGAAGCGGTGTGATACTGAAAGAACATTACGTTGAGAACAAGCAGCAGGACCTTAACTGTCACAATCTCCTTATCCATAAGGTGGAAGAGTAAAATAAAAGTCACAAGTAGTTTCCTCTTTGGGAAATGGACTAAAAGCAAGTCATGTGCAGAAACATAAAATCTGAGGAAGAAACATAGCCCCTAGGAGAAACAAAGACTCCATCTGACCTGCATGTATTTTGAAGTCTTTGACTGGCACTGAACTAGCTACATTGCCAATGTGAGTCAGCAGATCTTCTGAAATGCCAGTTGGAGGACAAGACATGCTCTTGGGTTCTCCATCCATGTTAAAGAATCCTGGAAGTAAAAGATACGGTGAGATGTTCAAGGACTGATTAAGAGATATCTACACTATCACTATCTACAATTTATAGAAAAACCCACAACTCTTAAAAGACACTGTAAGCAGCAGCCTAAACCTAGTTAGTTCTTCACTTTTCACTGGGAGAACACTGTCATTTTGATTGTCTACATGACAACAGAACTTGATCTTACAGGTACACAATGATCTGTATTGTTTCTGCTTTCTCTCCATGCGAAGTTATGGTGGTTTGATGCTGGCTGAATGCCAGGTGCCCACTAAAGCCACTCTGTCACCCCACTCCTCAGCCGGACAGGGGAGAGAAAATAGAACAAAAGTCTTGGGGGTTGAGATAAGGACAGGGAGAGATCACTCACCAATTACCACCATGGGCAAAACAGACTTGACTTGGGGAAATCAGTTTAATTTCTTACCAATCAACTCAGAGCAAGACAACGACAAATAAACCCAAATCTTAAAAACACCTCTCCCTTCTCCTCCCTTCTTTCCGGGCTCAACTTCACTCCCAATTTCTCTACCTCCTCCCCCCAAGTGGTGAAGGGGAACAGGGAATGTGGCTTGTGGTCAGTTCATCACACATTTTTTATGCCACTCCTTCCTCCTCCTCGGAGGACTCATCACACTTTTCCCCTGCTCCAGTGTAGGGTCCTTCCCATGGGAGACAGTCCTCCATGAACTTCTCCAATGTGAGTCCTTCCCATAGGCTATAGTTCTTCATGAACTGCTCCAGCTGGGGTCCTTTCCATGGGATGCAGTCCTTGAGGAACAGACTGCTCCAGTGTGGGTGCCCCACGGGATCACAAATCCTGCCAGCAAACCTGATCCAGCCTGGGGTCCTCTCCACAGGTCCTGCCAGGAGTCTGCTCCAGTGAGTGCTTCCCATGGGGTCACAGCCTCCTTCGGGCATCCAGCTGCTTCAGAGTAGGGTCATCCACAGGCTGCAGGCAGATGTCTGCTCCACTGTTAACCTCCATAGGCTGCAGGGGCACAGCTGCCTCACCATGGTCTTCACCACAGGCTGCAGGGGGATCTCTGCTCCAGCACCTAGAGCACCTCCTCCCCTCCTTCTACACTGACCTTGGTGCCTGCAGAGCTGTCACTCTCACATGTTGTCACTACTCTCTCCAGCTGCAATTGCTGCTGTCTAGCAACTTTTTCTCCCATCTTAAATATGTTATCACAGAGGCACTACCACCGTTGCCAATTGGCTTGGCCTTGGCCAGCGTTGGGTCCATCTTGGAGCCGGTGGCATTGGCTCTATCAGACATAAGAGAAGCTTCTAGCAGCTTCTCACAGAAGCCACCCCTGTAACCAACCCGCTACCAAAACCTGGCCACATAAACCGAACACAGAAGTCCAACTATGTGCAGAGAGGTATCCAATAAAAAGCACATGGCAGCTCAATCCCTCAGAAGAAAAGGAGCATGAAACAGATTCCTAACTATCCCTAAAGGTACAGTTAACACTACAGGAAAAACGCTTATCTGCTAAACTGAAAATACATCTTTTTCAAAATCACAACTTACTTTGCATGTTTTTTAAGAAAAGCACCTCTTTCCAGTTGATCTGGCAGAATGTTTTATTTACTATTAACAGAGGCAAACAAAAGGTCACATATTTTAGTTTAAGGGAACACTGTCTGATAAAATATGGGCTCAAAAGTACAATAATTTTAACTCTAGGATAAGTGAATGGACACTTACCAGGCCAAGGTGAATCAAGCCAATGCTTTATATGTAGGATCTTGTTATCTTTAGATCTGGTATATGCTTCTTCACATATTCTATCATACTTTGCAATTTCTTCCTGTAGAACAAAATCTTCCTTTTAAAATGGATAAATGTAGCACCTTTGTATCTTACAGATGACAGGATTCAGTATGCTAAAAACGGTTACTTAACTCCAGAAGAAAATTTAGTTACAATTATGGAAACAAACTATTTCATTTTATCTAGAATCAAATTGCCTTTTAGAAACATGCATACCTACATTACTCTAAATAAATTATTTAGCATACTGGACAAGTGTTACAGAGGAGAGTACCTCTGAAATAAAGTTGCTGAAGTTGCAAACAGTAATCTAGAATGAGACAGAACTGAAGTACCAAATATAATTTATATTCATACTTCTGATGAGCATTATCCAGCTCTCATACTTCAGGATACAGAAGCCACTAAAGACTAGAAAAGAACCTCCTAGAAAACCAGTCTGACTAGGAGAGTTTAGCTAAGAATCTACTGGGCACACCTATCAATGGCAACAGATACAAAGCCATATTATGTAGAGGCAGAATGCCTCTATGTTTCAATCCAAAACCCCACTCAAGTTATTGAGCTAGCTAGTCTTTAAAGTAACTTAACAGTAATGTTGAGCTCATTTTGAACAGCAAAACATCCATGCAGGATCCAAAGTCCATGCCACTAACTGGCACACTCTTACAATGGTTCAAGATAGTTAGTTCTGCATGACCCGTTATCATTCCTGCATATGACAGAATGCACGTACACAAAATGGATTTTTTTGTTGATCTACAACACTGTGTCACTACATAGTCAGCCACACTTCTCAGAAGGTCCTTTGCTGGATCTGCACTCTACGCATTCACTTTCAAAAAGACTAGGGTAGAGACCTAAGCAGCTTAATACAGGCACCAGACTCTACACTTCATCCTTCTGGAATATTTCAAATTATCTCTGAATTTAGTTGAATTATTGCAAGAAAATAAAAAGGTTAAATTGATTTTACTGGATTATTGCTGGATGGAAGCCTGACAAGGTTATCAATATGAAGCTACAGTTATACCTATGAGCATTCAAATACTGTCTTACTGACAAATCAAGATTCTAGAGATGAAGAACAGCTGACAAATGCCTCCAGCATTCACATCTGATCACCTTTTACAAATCTCAGAACTGAAGCAAATTTTCTTCAGTGCAAAATGTATTAATTACTTCACAGCAGTTTCAATCCCTTTGTTGCAACAATACTATTTATTTTACACAAAAATTACCAAATTGAATCAGAAAGTGTCAAAGGGTGAAGACATCACAGGAATCAAAAGGAAGGTTTTTAAGCAGACAGCATACAGTGACAGTTGTGTCTTCCTACTGACAGCTTCTTAAGTTCCCTTTAATTCTGTTGACACGTACCTCAAACTCCTGCAAGGTTACAGTCCCATCTGCAATCAGTTTGTCAGCATACTTCTTCAACACCGGCACCTGTTTATGAATCTGCTTGTACATTAGAGGCTGGGTGAACATTGGTTCATCCATTTCATTGTGTCCTCTCCTACGGTAACAAACCTACAAAGGGAAAGACTCTTTCTGTTGGTAAGAAAAAGTGTAAAATAAAATCTTTCCAATTCACAGTTTTACAGAGATTTTAGGAGATTTATGATATAAAAACATTCATGGAATCCTGTGGGGTTGTCAGTTACTTGGCTTTTTTAAGTGGAGAAACTAAAGGCCATTAAAATATTTTTCTTGACTGGGTCTTCTAAGCCACAGAAAAATAAGAGTAGTAGTACATAATACACAGAATGAAAAGCTAAGAAAACCAAGACTTACCAAGTCAACCACTACATCTTTATTGAATGTGTTTCGCCATTCTGCAGCTACACTGCACACATACATGACTGCTTCAGGGTCATCAGCATTTACGTGAAAAATGGGAGCATTAACCACACGAGCAACATCAGTAGGATATGGAGATGAACGGGCCATACGGGGGTCTGTGGTGAAGCCAATCTAAAAATTCCAGAAATTTCAATTCAAATGTGGGCATCGCCCTCTACTTTGTTTTTCATGCTTAAGGTTTTCATTTAATAGTCATGTACACAGCAGTAGTATCAGCTTTTCATTTTGGCTAGCTAGCTTCTTGATGCTCCCTCAAAAACAAAAACAAAACAAACCTAATCCAATTAAGTGTTATAAACTGAATGAAATAAATGTAGGTGATAAAGTATTTTCCACTCAGAGTTGCTAGATACTATGATCATTTTCAGAACATCCTAACCACTCAAATAAACAGAGGGGACAATGCACTCAGCTAATAACAAACAAGAATAAAAAGAAACACACTAGCAACTATTCGGCAGACAAATTGATTGGAAAATGCTCTACTTGTTACCTGGTTGTTGACCACAACATGAATAGTGCCATTTGTGGTGTAGGATGGGAGGTCACTAAGATGAAATGTCTCATAAACCACTCCTTGTCCTGCAAAGGCAGCATCCCCATGTAATAATATGGACATAACCTAAGAGGGAGGATTATGCACACATATCCACAAATATATTAGAAAACTGCAATTGAAGCTTCTCAAAATTTGCTCCATATTTCTGTAGTGCTTATAAAACAGAACTGTATTTCTATAATAAACCATAGACTTGTCAGCATTCTGCTGCCTTTGCTCAGTTCACAAATGACAGAAAGTTTTAAGCCTAGTTCCTGAAGTTATCCTTGAGGTACCATGTCGAAAACCTTATCCAGTTCAACAGGTGACACGTCCCTTTTGTGAAGGTGAAAGAGAGGAAGATACAAAACTACTGGTAAACTATTTTTATTAAAAATAATATGAAAAGCTATCAGTAAGAGTTACGATAATAAAAAAATATTTACCTTTTTCCCTGCCGTATCCCCTCGATAAAACTGTTCGGCTTTTGTCTTCCCTTGCACAACAGGATCAACCGCTTCCAAGTGAGAAGGGTTAGCCATCAGGGACAGAGTGATTTTCTTGTTTGTTGCTCGGTTGATCCTCTCATGATACATTCCCAGATGATATTTTACATCCCCAGATCCCTAACATGCCAGATGTAATCACAATTCAGGAATGTCATTCATACCAGCTGCATCCAATTGACTATGACTAAAATCTGTGCATCAGTCTGAAAAACGCATCTAGCTAATTGTACATCAGTATGCACTATGGGTTTGACACTGTAATTTCAAATTGGAACACTGTTCCTATTTTATCATCTTAGTGTCCCTATCCCATATTAGATAAATATTTACAGAATATTGATACTCATTTCATTTATATGAAACAAAGAAAGATGCTTAGAGATTACGAACTCAGACAAATGACCTAGAACTTAGTTATCTACGGTCATTCCTAAGACACCTTCTGCATGTTGGAGGTACGCAGTATAGTCTTTAATTTTGTTAAAAATTACACCAAATCATATTCTTCAAACTAAAAAAGAATAGCTGATAATGCTATTTTTCTTAATAACCATGACCAAAATGACCAAAAACTACCTTGAAAGTTGACCTCTCTATATAGATCTATTGAAGAAGCATCTTACCTCATCAGCTGCTTCAAGTTTGGGATCAAACTGACAGAAGATCTGCTCCAGCTCTTTTCGTATTACATTAGCCAATACATTCAGCCTACCTCTAAGAAAATTCCAAACATAGTTATGTCTCAAAAATGGTAGTAACAGAGTAAAACAGCAGAAAACTTACAAAATCAGCAAGCCATGTCTGTGAGAAATTTGCAGGTAAAAAGTTAACTCCAAACATTTGAACCTGAAACACTTCATTCTACCCTTCTTCTTCCATTGCAAAGTTCCTCCAATGCATTCCCACTGACATTTTATAACACCTAGCTACTGAAATATGATCAATGTATTTGTAGCTATCTAGCAGTTTTAACATAACATTAATAATTAATTAATTAAGGCAGACTGCAAAAGTAAGTTTCATCCTATCTTGCCGAGCTTTCTCAGTTCTATACTCTAAGCAAAAGGAAAGATACCATGGCTGCTGCCACATTTGCTTGCAGCTTCAAGGTACACTGAAGAGAGTTTTGCTAGCATTTACCTGTGAAGCCTGTAGCCTCCCACTGACAGGTATTTGTTACAGTCTTGTGTTCCCATTACTCACTGACTGACTCTTGCTACCATAGCTTCTCTAATATCAACTTCATTAATAAAATTCTAGAATTCCAAACTTGTCTTAAGACAATAAACCCATCTGCTGGGGGTTTCCATTGATATTACCTATGAGGCATCCCCATTATAACATATTCAATTCCCATTTCACTGGATTTATCGATGATGGTCTTAAGTGCAGGAATCATTACTTCACATCCTTCCAAACCAAATCTCTTTTCGGAAGACCACTTGCGAGCAAGGAAGTCTTCAAATCTTTGCCAAAAAGAAACCCAGAAAACAAGAGAGTGTTTGTATTAAGACGATGCAGGAAATACTTATTGTCAAACATCTTTTCGCAAATTAAATTAAATTACACTGTTTTAAAGTACCCGTGAATACATGTTTTTAGGCCTCTGGAAGTAAGTCACATGTAGGGAGGGAGACATGGCAGAGAATTAAGTCTTTCTCCTCTATCTGAGAAGTATTTACCAGGACTTTGAAACAATTTTGATGGGAAGATTCTCCATCTCAGACAAAATTCACTTCCCAAGTTAAACTCTGCTCCTTCCCACATACACAAAATGTACACTGACGGCTGGGAAGGCAGAGTAACAGCAAAGAAGCCTCTTCTGTGGTTTGAAGCAGACATAACAGAGAACCTGTATTTTCTGAAAGTAATTATTTAAGACTTGTGGAAATACAGTTGAAAGCAGGCCTGTTTCATAGGTCCTATTCAATGGCAGGGCTCCTCACGCTGTGTGATATAATGGTTGGTAACGTGCCAAGAACTAGGACGGTAGTATCTCTGCCTCAGCTGTAGCCAGAGAAAGATGTCAACCTTTGACAGCTCTATGTTCTTTCATTCTTTAATGCATTTGGGCCAGAGGCAATGTGGGTGGTTAAAAAGTACCTTTTAACAAACACTGAAAGGTTTTACTGTTGTAAAGCCTGGAGGTACAAAACGCAAAGAAAATATATCTTCATTAAAATAACTGTATTGGTTACATCATCTGTACAATGCCTCGACTCCTAACACTGCCATAATCCATTAACACTCAGTTTACTCCTCACTTAGAACGCTGACATTTACTTCTTTAGATTGAAGTCCTAAAAGCAGTGAAATTAAGAGTTGACAAAAGACTCTTCTTAGCTCACCCATCAATACCCTTACAATTCAGGCATCTAAGCAACAAGCCAGACCCTCAGCTGAGCTATGCTGACAGAATTCCTCAGGGAAGTCTGCAGGGCTATGCCAGTTTATATAAACTGAAAGTGGGGTCCCATGTCAATAGCAAGTCCTACAGGGCAAATCAAAGTGGTGGTTCTACACGCTGTTTTCCTCCTCTTTGCAGCTGCAAGTTAAGCCAGTATTGAACAGGCAGACAGTTCATTATGTGAGGCAAACTGCCACTAAGCGTACAGAACTATAATATTTCACAGTCACATCTTGCGAGTTCCCCATATTCCACTGTGAGGAGTTCACAAGGGCTGGCAGCTCATTTGCTGTCACTGCAAGTGTTCAGTACCCAACGAGGAGGAAGTCTTATGAAAGATGGTTACTCTCAGAAGGGATAATCTAAAATGCTTGACCATGAACAGGCTACACAGTCAGGGTCTAACATGTTTACTAATGCATACACAAAGTAGCTGAAAGATATAGAACGAGTATTTTACAGGAGGAAGAGTTAAAAATTACCCCTTTGTTCAATAACCTATCAGTGAACACAACAAAGGATGAGAAATCCTACTTTAAAATTCAGTTTCAAGTACCTGAAGTATGTAGTACTTGGAATGAATATTTTTGAAAACTGGATTCTTGAGCAAAGTGATGACTATCTGCTTTACAAAGCCACAAATCTCAAGAGCACAACTAGTTTTCCACAAAACCAGACTTTTTCCTTGATCGTTTTCAGACAAAAAAAAAAAAAAAAAAAAAAAAAAAAAAAAAAGCATGCTAGAGATAGCTGAATAGAAATTTATGTAAAACTTTTTCTTCCATTTTCAACAGACAGTTTGGGAGAAGATGAACATTAGGCTCCTTCGCACTATTAGAAACCCCAGATCTTTCCACATCTTAGGCAGGAATAAAGCACAAATTATCATCTGAAGATAAAGGGAGATGGTTCATACTGAGGGCTTGTTAAACAAACTTACTAAAGTGCAATATTCATTTGACCAATAAGTGACCTTTTTTATTTCTGTTTAAATTAAACTTTTAACTGGACAAAAAATTGTGCTCTAACATTGGCAAACAAAACCTGGCAAAAATATCTTTGAAGACCTCCAACGAGAACTTGATTTTTTAGTCTTTGAACATAGAAGCTTAATCAAAAAATGTGTCTTTACAATTCTCTAACTCTTGTGTTTATCAAAAGATATGCAAACTGTTTCAGGTTGTAAGAACTGTAATAAATCTTGTGCCTGAGAAGACAGTCTTGTTCTAGGGGTGAGAGGGTAATTCAGTCTCTGGCATCACAGTATTTCCATAAAGATAGCCACAATGGGAGCAATCAATAAGCTGTTTCCAAACATACTGTCATATATTGCAGAGACAAGAACTCCTGCTGACAGGTCGTGCAACAGTACAGCACATCTTGGCATACCTCAAGAGGAAAAGGGCAAAAACAAGACTTGAAATCACATTATGCCTCTTCAAATCCAGTCCCGTCTTGGGACAGCTTTCCAAAGAGACTCTTTGTATCCCAGTGAGTCAAACAACATTCATGTCAACACTTCACCCATCTAAAAACTCTCCTTGAGCTGACTGTTAGGATGACTTCCATCATGTGCTGCTAGTAAGACGCACAGTAAATAGAATATAGCAGATCAGCATCCAATGTTGTTCTGACATCTATTTTCTGAAACAGGTTATGATTCTTTAACACAGATGCATATTACTAGTCTGTTGAAACATTTTTCCCAGTTTAACTCCACAAGCCAAGGAAAACATTGCCAGATATGCCACTAAAGGCTGCACAAGTGTTACAGAACACAACTTGCCTTTTAAGAAAACACAGACCCTGACATACCTCACAGCACACACTTTCCTTTGGTCTTGCAGCCAGGTCACCTACACCTACACCTGCCTGTCCTCCAAATTTCACTTAGACTCTTCACCTCCACCTCAGCAGTTTACAGACTGCACCAGCTTACACCCAGCAGCCACAGAGCAGTTTCCCAGAACCACCCCAGCGTTACCTCATTGAGCGCACCAGCCTTGCCAACAGAGTCCTTTTTTCCTCATTAGTAAACTTCATAACTCCTGGAGTCTCAAACTTCTGACGGATCCACTGGCACTGTTCCACATCATTGATGAACATAAACTCCAAGCCAATGTGTTGGCAGTAGGTATTCTAGGATGTGAAAACACCAACACAGAAGCTTTAGGACTTAATGGGCCGTGAAGAAACAAATGTATTTTTAAATTGTATTTTCTCTATGTATTACTCTACTGAAGGCTATCTTGCCTTCCTCTTCTACTATATCTTCCCCACAGTAATCCTATAAGCAAACAAATTGTTTTACTAAATCTATTTTTGTGCCAGAAAGCTTTCTCTGCAAAGTAACATTTCAAAGTTTTGAATCTGGAAGATTCTCATTAGATAATACATTCAAAGTAGGCCAATAAACCTGCCTTAAACTGACTGCCATATTTCACATAACTCACTACTGTTCTTACAGGCACAAGAGATTCTTTTCTTCAGCTGCACCAGCAAAGATTTCAAGTCATTTATCAAAATTTACCCTGTCTTTTTCAAATGTCACCTGAAATCAAGCAATAAAGACAATGAGAAGACAGCTATGAAGCCTCATGCAAATTATCTGAGAACTGTCAAGTTGCAGAAGGCTGGAAGTTGGAAAAAGAATCCAGGCAGTTAAGAGCAGAAAATGGACAGGGTAAAATGCAAAGACACTTCAGAAATTTTAGCTCCTTGTTGCATTTTTATTTTCCTTTTCTTACCTTAAAAAGAATATTTTACCAGAAAAATATGTCCAAAATACAAGTCAACAGAAGTAAGACCTACTGTGAGTTTAATTTGAGACAAAACCACTCTGAACACATCATATGTGCTCTCTCCTGTCTCTAAAAAGGAATTTGTCAGCTTAAATTTAATTAAAAAAAAAAAATCCAAAGCCTTGGAGAGAAGAGGGAAATCAGAGTATTATTTCTCTCGAACATAAATCAGTTCCTTGAGCCTTTTAGATTTTGCTGTTGATTTTGTCCATTTATTCACACTACCATTTTAAGGATTATCTCTTGAAAATTGCTGCACAGGCACGCTAGAAGTGCAAAAACCAAAAAGCAAATATAGAGCTCAACTGCATAACAGAGATGTTGTAGCTTAACAACTTACCATGCTTCAGCTAAGATGATGTAATAGTCAAACGTGCAAGTCAACACATTCTCTCACACTTGCAACAGGCCAAAACCATGAACTCCTACATGCTCAGTAATTATTTTATTTTTACTTTCTTGTAACTCAGTTCTGTATTTCATCCTTTCAAATATTTCCTCACCCCTAGCCCTTTTTACTCCAATGGATTTCATTACCATGCAACAGAAACCTCTACAACTTCGGTACTCCACAATCCTGGAAAAAGTACAATCCAACACTTACTAACTCAGTAATTTACAAATTTGTTACCATTCTTATTTGCTGTTTTGCTGTTTGGAGTTCCCTTCTAATGATATTTATACCTTATATGACTTTGCTTTTTTTAGTGTCATTTCAATTCTTTACATGCTCTATTAATAATTCACAAATTATAAGTTTTTTTTTGTGACTAACAATTGGAAAAAGTTCACTTCTGTTTGGACGAAAACAATCACAAATCAAAAAACATCCCACCAACCTCCAGCCGTTTGATGATGTCTCGTAAAGAAAGACTGTTCTCATTTCCTCCTATGAAGGTGGTCGTAGGCAGTTGGAAGACTTTGTCCAAATCTGATTCATGCAAACCATAAAACCCTGCAACAGGTACATTATCAATTTGCAAAGCAGGGCAAGAGACAGAAAGAAAATCAGCATTGTTTAGTTCAATTTAGTTCAATAAAGCAATACTAAGAAAGAAAGAACATACCAGATTAAAAATTTAAGGTGTGAATATTTTGGAGGCATCCATTAGTACAATGCACTTTAGTCTGTATTTTAAAAATAAATGTTTTAATTAAATTGTTATTGTTTGATTAGAAGTACCAAACCATTCTTTCTTAAATCTGCAGATGGAACAATTGAAATTAAAATCACACAAACCTTTTTGTATTTTAGCATATTAGCATATAGGCCATCAATTCTCCATATTCTATCTTGAAGTTCACTGTTTGGTAAAATAACTAATTGGAATGATAGAGATTTCTTCCTTGTTCTATCATGAGCAACAAACACAAAAAGAAACACTTTCACAGACAGAACCGGTTGGTTGGAAGCATACTGGATTAATTTATACAACATTAATATAAGGAAGGACACAGGATGACAGGGGCCTTAGTGCCATTTGAAACCAAGCAGCGCTAACATCCTATTTTTTTTTCCCTTTGCTGACTTTCTCTCAGACTTCACAGGCTCTACATGTTCTGTCATGCAAAAACCAGAACACGTACAGGAGTGATCTGGGCATACACAGAACATCTGTGCTTTGTACTGCAGCACTGCATGTTTACTGAAGCTTTACCTCATGTTTAAAGAGATACAACCTTATTGAAATCCAAGAGTTCCTGAGAGCAATTCTGTAACTTAAATTGTGCAGTAAGCACACCTTAACCAGCTGCATTTTTAGAAGCAACTCCCAGAAGAAACTTCCCACCAGATGGTTTCTCAAAAAAGAAACCAAGAAGACAGGACAAAGAAAATGTACAGAAAAATCAAACACTAAAATACCTTCTGTACTATCAGAGACCTTTCGTAAGTTTCCTGCCTGGAACACTCAAGGACAGGCAACATTTGAGATCCTCCCCTTTTTTGCTGTGCCAAGACTAGGTCAGAAATTTTGTTTCCCCTCACAAACTGAAATATCACCTCAGTTACACTCTCAAAAGCATCTCCCATCTCATTCAGAGGCCTAGCACATTTTTCCAGTGCTCATAAGGGCTCCAGCATGATGTCTTCTGATCAGTCATAACACTCTGTACTAAATTATCTATAGAGTTTAAAGAAATCTGTACTGACATGCTAGAAATCACCCATGCTCCAAACAAATTATATTAACTTAGTAAATGTGTAATGTATTTTCTAGTAGGCACTTTCCTTCAATTAAAGCTGATAAACTTCAAAGAGCACCCCTGATTTGTGTAAGCACCTCTCCATTTACAGTCTTAAGCCTTTATACGATCAAGGGTCAGAACTGCTTGCTTTTACTACCACTAGAAACAGCAAACACAGCAGCAAAGAGGCAGTAGATGTACTTACAGTATAATTAAGCAGAACGCATTTCATCTATTACTTACACTATGGTTTATGCCTGGTCTAAAAAGCTTCCCTACATATCAGAGAAAAATTGATTCAATGTCTTTATCAAGTAGAAAACCACCTTTTAAACATACCAGGTAGATTGCAGATTAGAGAAAAATCAATCAGATGGTTTTTTTTATTCAAGCAGAGAGGAGCAAAGAAATTGATCAGTGCAATTTCTCAAAGACATGTCCTCTTAGCAACCAGGACAACCTTTGCAAAAGCAAGTCCTAGTGTATTACACTCTTCCAGCAGTAAACTAAAATGATCACCATTGGCTTGTATACACACATCAAGAATACCACATTTTCCATGTTTTCTTCTGATAACTTCAAACAGACTTCTTCAAGTTATATGGAAGGAATAAATATCAGAGGCTAAAACCCAAATTTGGTATGAAATTTAACCTGAGTTCCTCTACATAGCATTTTGTTTATTGCTTATTTTTCCTGTTGACTAGCCTTCAGATGTCCCCAGTCAAAACAAGTATCATAATGGTATAAAATATGGTATAAAAATAATTAGATTGCCAGAATCTTAGCCTAATGTATTGATTAGTATTAATTTCTGGTGTGGTTCAAAACCATAAGATTTGGGGGTTTTATAAAGCGTTTATAATTATCATTCATCAGAAGCTGAATTCACAGGAACCTCACCTGTGATCTCAGAGCAGAAATTCCATTGTCCTGAGATTTCAGCATCCTTACAGATGCCCAATGAAACTATTTCATGACACCAGCAAGCAGAAAAGGTAGAAGCTTCCCTGAAACATCTTATTAAATCACCCCAGCCCAATGAGACAAAAGAGACAAATGACCATTGCAAAAAACAAGGCATACTGTGTACGCACCAAGTTTATCGATTGTAGTGATTAAGTCAGATGGAACAAATGAATCCAAGTCTGCATCCAGAATTCCAAGGGGATCCAGCTGAGCCACATGATGGCCGCGAATCTGAAAAAGAAGGAAAGTGAGAGAAAAATGAAATCACACTCACAAAAGTCAACCAAAGGGAAAAAGTCACTCACTGGTATCTCCCCATAATATGTATGTCGGCCATGAAGTCAAATAAGCAAAATCCACTAATGTCACAAGAAGGTCATATTTCTGTAATTTTACCATAAGAACAGGAAATAAGCATTGTATGTCTGTATATGTACACTACCTCAATTAAAAATGGCTGAATATACATTAAACCATAACTTGTATTTAGTCTATCATAGAAGTCTAAGTAAATAAAACTACTAAATATCGCACTCTAAATCTGGGTAAAATTAAGAAACCATGACCAGTCTATGGACTCTATGATTTGTTAATTCAGTCGTTTTGTATTTTTGTCTGAATCCTCCTTTCTGCACCTGCAGAACAACAAAATATAGCATTGTTGACCTAAAACTGATTGGTGTTGAAGAAGCTGATATTAGAAGTGAAGGGATCACTCTTCAGAAGCTCTGCTTCACATCACATTGCATCAGATAGCATTTATTTTCATTCACGAAATTTTGGGAACTTCATCTATGATAAAACTAACATACAAGAGACCAAAGAACACAAATTCGATTGGGAAGCCAGCCAGCTTTCAGTTATCAATATGACTTATGTTAATGTATGCGCAAGTTGCTATAAACTAGTGCCATATTAACATATAATATTCCTACAGAAGAAATAACGAATTGATTCTATAGAGCCACAAATAAAAAACAATTTTTTAATATGTCTCTTGTGTGTGATTCTCATATACTAAATTAGCTCATTAAAAGCTTTTTATGGATGAATATATGAATATTTTCTCCTTAATATTTTTCTTTTTAAGGACAAATTCAGATCACTTAGGTAGAATTTAATTCACGCTACTAGTACCCTAGTTGTCTCTGAAAAAAAAAAAATTAATAAACTGCAATATTAATAATGATTTGCATCATATTGTAATAGAGTGTGAATTAAGTGTGGTTGATCAAGAATTGACTTATAAAAACACTGTCCAAATATTCTATATTTGCAGGAGAGTTTGTAACAAAATGCTTTCCACTTGTAAGCAAACAAAAATACAGCATCTTTCTCAGAACCACCAGACCTGTCAATTCAGCCTGGCCTCTGAGATTCTTTGTATCTCATGAATCACCAGTAATAAAACTCTGACAGGACAAATGACGCCCACGGCAACATCTACAGCACCTCATTGTTTACAGCGGCACAAAGTCTATCTGACTGCAACTAAGCAAACAATTACATCTCAAGCTTCATCAACAGGAAATAATTCACCTCCCTAAGCTATATCTGCTCTGCAGTACTAGTAGAAAAAGGAAGAGGATTAGCAAGAATGCCAAAACCCAGAAGGGCAAATCAGTGAAGTGCTGTGCCATACTGCATTCCAGAAGCAGTTTGGTCTTTAACCGAAAGACAGTATTTTCCCTCAATGTCAAGTTTTTTTTTTACTAACTTCCACTTCTTTTACCGAATACAGAAAATAGTAACAACTGCAAAACTCAGAGATCAAGCTTGTGAAAACACTTTTATAGAAAATTATCATCAATTGCCATAAACTACACTAAATGCAAGTGCAGAGTTCATGAAACTAGAATTTAAAAATCATATTTTCTAGACATAGATAAAAAAAATCTACGTTATAAAAGAAGACTCAAGAAGTTAGTTTATCTGGACTTATTTTTGTTAAGCACACACATTTCACATGAAATCCTTCTTTTGGTGTGTCCAGTGCTCTGCATTAGAAAAAACAATAGATTAACTGCCTTTTCAGAAGACCAGCTCAACAGACCACAAAGCAGTTTACCACAAAAACCATAAAACACTGACAAGTTTGAGAAATGAAAATTCTGTATTCTTCTCAATTTTATTTCATTATCAGGCAAAGGGAGGTCACAAATTGATCGCATCCCTTCAACACTGAACTTAGAGGGTATTAAATACCTTTTAAAAACAGACAGTTGCCTTAGGTAATCCTCTTTCGCTGTCACAGACACGTGGCTGCCTGCCATTTATACAGACATTTCCGTTCCATCCCTTGAGTCCGACAGCACACTCTAAGCACAGGAAACAAAATGGCAATCCCTGAACTATTTATTTTCAATTAAATGGTGTCAAAGTAGCCTAACACTCTCCAATTTTCTCTAACTCTTCAACAAATTATTACTGCAAGCAAAGGTGCATGGGCTTAAGCAGTTGTTTTCTACACATACATATTTCTAAGCAAATTTTGTATATTCTTTACAGTCACAAACATTTCTACTCTTTTACAACAACTTTCCAACAGCTGGATTAACTCTGAATCAATGGTGACAATGTCATGTGTACAGAAAAAAAGTTTTTAAAAAACTTCCTCTTCTATTCCTCTGATGATCGCAAACAGGAGTTAAAGTTCTTAGTGCAGGGCAGTACAGATGTGCTCACGTCAAACTGTAGCAAACTTCCTGGTAAGTCACATACTTATTTAAAAAAAAAAGGAAGGAAATTAAAAATCAAACTGGAATATTTTGCTCAACACCGAACAAAAGCCTTTTATTGAAATTAAGATATTAAACACAAGTTTAAATGAAAATATTTAAACCCGTTTTACATTTAGAAAATATCTAACCAAAACCACTGTGCTATTTCCAAAATCCTTCTTCTTTTAGAGAAAAAAAAAAGAAATTAGACTTAACTTCTTAATAAAACAGTAAAAAAAAAAAAATCTTAGTGTGAAACAAAGTCAACTCTGATGAATAGCTCTCTAAAATAAATTCATCACACCTGACCAAAACTCAGTACCATTAGCCTCCCAAAATTCAACTTCTGGTTAATTCATTATTTATCCTCTCTTTTTTTACCTATAATCCTGCTCAAAATCAGGAATCTCAAAATTCACACCAGATGTATGAGAAAGCAAGCACATTTCCTCCTTACTTAAAAAAAAAAGATAGTAGCATTTAGAACTGTAATACAAACTTTCCCAGAGGTCAAGACAGACATGGACCATGGTAAAGTTTGCTGTTGAAGAAAGGTAAAATTCTTATTTCACACACACATCACAAGATTCATCAGTATCCATATATCCAGGACAACCCCCTTCATATGAAGCAAAACTATTTCAGATAACTTAGTTTTCCAACTGGGTCAAGTAACTTACTGAATCAGAGACACATACACACACAAAAAAATCTTAATACAGTCACGTGAGCCAAAAGAATATTAAAGGCTAAGCTTTGGTATGTTTGGTTCCTGCTCCTGGTAAATGGGCAAAACCGAGCAGATTCATGTTCCCTTTCAGAAACTACTATCTCCATAAAGAACTTCCAGGTTAAGTCAGATAACCAGCAGCAGAGCAGTGGGTAATTTGAATCCTGAGTTTGCTAAGCCAGAGGAGCATCCCAGTCTGAATATAGGACCTCAGTGTTCAGGCACTGTGCAATGAAGAAAAGACTGTCTAATTCAAGACGTTTTGGATCAGAAAACGTCTTGAATTGTAGAAATATTAGCAGTAGGTTGAAGGAGGTAATTCTCCCCCTCTACTCTGCTCTTGTGAGTCCCCCCTTGGAGTACTGTGTTCAGATGTGGGGCCCCCAACATAAAAAAGACCTGAACCTGTTGGAGAGAGTCCAGAGGAGAGCCACAAAATTAATCAGAGAGCTGGAGAACCTCCCCTATGAGGACAGGCTGAAAGAATTGGGGTTGTTCAGCCTGGAGAAGAGAAGGCTCCGAGGAGACTTAATAGCAGCCTTCCAGTACCTGAAGGGGGCCTACAGGAGAGATGGGGAGGCAATCTTAATCAGGGAGTGTAGTGAGAGGACAAGGGGTAATGGGTATAAGCTGAAAGAGGGTAGATTTAGACTAGACATTAGGAAGAAATTTTTCACTGTGAGGGTCGTGAGACACTGGAACAGGTTGCCCAGGGAAGTTGTGGATGCCCCATCCCTGGAGGTGTTCAAGGCCAGGCTGGATGAGGCTTTGAGCAACCTGGTCTAGCGGAGGGTGTCCCTGTCCAGGGCAGGGGGGGTGGAACTTGATGATCTTTAAGGTCCTTTCCAACCCAAACCATTCCATGACTCTATGAGAAGCAAGACAATAGACAGGAGTTAAGACCAGAAGACAAACAAGAACATAAAAAGGAAGAAAAAGGTTGTTTGCAAAGGAGAGGCCCTCCCACACCTACCCCAAAGTATACTTACTTGGTATGCTCTTATCAAAGATTGCACAGCAAGGTGATCTTCAACAACCTTTTCAGCTTTACCTGGTGTCTGGGCCAGGCCATGGCTCTGAAGAAACGATGCCTTTCTTTCCAACTGATCTGGTAGATGGGGATCATATGCTTGGCCAGCATTAGCATTTCGGAAAAACAAATCCCAGGACTGGACATGTGTACAGAGAAGGAATGAAGAAGGAAAATGTATTACCTCAAATAAAAGTCTCAATCAAAAGCAGCTCCTTCAAGCTGTAAATGGTTCCTCATTACATTACAGTATTAAGTACCACTAATAGACACCAAGAAGAGAGCACTGCTATGAGCCCTTTTCACCTCATTTCTTACACTGAGCTTGTTCAGTGGAAAAGTCTCCAGTACATATGAGTGCAAAGCATCTTCATACATTATTCATTCACACAGCTCCTTTTAACTGTGATGTTTGTTCAGGCAACCAGTAAGGGGTATGATATTATGCTGCTGGTAAAGAGGTATCAAGCCTATAAAACTGAAAACCTTAATAAATTAAATTAATCCATTCCTTTAATGATACTTAAAGAATTTATAATACTTCAAGACACTCACCAAACATGCTAAATCAGAATCAGTCTTTAAGGGCCTTTCTTGAAGAAACTGTTTAAAAGCAATTACAGCTTTTCTGTGCAAGGCTTTTGGTCTAAGATCCTTTCCTCCCTAGCTTAGGTTACCTTACTATGAAAGAAATAATGGACCTGGCTTCTGGTGCAAGTCATAACTTTAGAAGAGTACATATTTCAGAAACGGAATCACAAGAAACAAAAGATCCTTTTATTTCCATCTGCACTTTTACACAAGCCACTTCCTCCACATTTGTCCAAATCCGTTTTTCCTGAACTATTTCCATTCTGACGAGGTGGTCACTGTCCCTGGTTAGAATGGTATCAGATATATGGATGCTACCAGACAGCAGCAGAATGGAATAAAACCTCTGAGATGCTTATACTCAACAACAACAAAAAAAAAACCTGCAGGAGGAGGAAATAATCAATACTTGTGCTTAGGTTACAGTTTCTGTAAAAGGTAATGAAAGGTCATAAAACACTTTCCTCAGTTTGGTTAACTTAGGAAATCAAGGAAGCTGTTTCAAAACTTTGAAATCTTTGTGACTGGAATAGAAGTACTGTAGAAGTTAAATTTCATTTTGCACAGTGCATGTTATTTACGCTGGCTGTGGGCTTGGAACTAATGCATTTCAAGGAACCAGTGCCAGAAAACACAAAAAGTAGACCAAAGATTTGATTTTAAAAGACAATTACTTAATATATTAATTACCAAATATGCAAAAGAATCAAAATAAAGTAATGCCAACACTGCACAACTGAAAAATTAAATATTTTTCATTAATAAAACATCTTCATACTGAAATTTATACAAGCTTTAATGTGTTCAGAAACACTATGATAAAGGGCAACATACAAGAGCTAAATATCACCCAACACTTCAAGTTCAAGTTACAGAAGTGGAGGGACTCCTTGAACCTGTGGGCAGGAACCTCATCACTAGCATGAAGCCACTGCCCGAGAAACACTGCTTTAATGTATCTCTCTCACTTCTTTATTAATACAAAGATGCATTGATATAAATACAATAAACTTACTTAATTTATCATCCTGCTCTCACACAGATTTGATCTAAACATAGGCCAACTTTTATATTCCGTGATAAATTAAGGCAGACCATGCTTGGTGGTCAATTCCAGAAACACTGATGAAGACTTCATTCCTCCTCCCTTCACTCATTTATGACCATTTCCTATATTCTTCTTACCTTGACACCTTGCCAGCCACACTGAGATTAGAAGTCTGAATTTATACAACATCCTATAAATGGTCTACAAGAGTCTATCAGTGTAACTGCATTTCCTCTGGTATTCTCTCTACACACCTTCTTACTCTGTATTAAGAAGAGTATTGTTATTCTATGCCTGTACAGCACCTAGTCTGAGAGTTTGCAGATCCCAGACAGTGAAAAACAGATACAATCCCTCTGCGTTACAACTAAGGCTACTTAAAAAGGAGGGATTATTTTGGCAATACACAGTTATTAAATTTCATTAAATTAGGAAATTCCAAACACATATTTGGATCCATGACAAATCTGACATTTGGTATTCATTCAGAGTTTTAATAAAGAACATGCTTTGCTTATGTTAAGGTTCCTTCCTCACTTTTTCCAACACCATGATACACATACAATGTTGATAATAATGTAACTATTCCTTTGAGTCAAAAGCTTTTCTTTTAGATGTAAAAGTTATCATAGCCCAGTCTCACAAACAATTGTATTTGTTTTTAGATAAGTGCTCTGCTGAGGCAGTTACTAACAAAATCCAAATATCCTTGCCCAACAAGCTACCTGGTTAAGGAGAATAAGCATAGGGCCCTTTATTCATGCAAACTTGCAAATATAAAAAAATACTTTCAAAATGTTTACATTCAAGGATGAGGCCAACTGGGACAGGAGGAACCCATGCTATTTTTTCCTATCGCATTTTTGAACTTATTGATTTGTTAGACATGCTTGACATTTAATCAGAGGGGAGGGATAATACATCATTTGGCTATAGAAAATTAGTTTTTTCTAGATCCGCATCCATCAAAGCCTTTACAAATCTGTATAGTGTCTTTCAAGATTGATACCAGATTATAGCCTTCAAGTCTTGTGTATCAATGTCAGTCTTTGGCAACAGCACTTGCCATGTGACTGAATGGATAGAAGACCTGCTTGGTCTCATAGCAAGCCTGCAGGTTCTCAACTAAACTAGCAAAGTTCTTTAAGAAAATGGTAGAGGAGAATTATAACAGAAAAACACATCTGTAAAAAATAAATTACTATAGTGATACATGATACATTCCTATCCTTTTTTCCTGTCAGCAAATCTGTATCATAGTTACCATTATTTTCTCAGGTAATATAATACAACTCAAGTGATTCAGTGGCAGTATTCTACTCTGACATAATAAACAGTGTTGCACTTAGAATAACAAGTAACATATTAGTTATCTTGATGGTTTGCTTTTTTTCTAGTGACATCACAATATTTGTCAACTGCAGAGAGGACAGTAAAGCCTTAGAAGACATACACTGAGCATCACAAGATCATTTAAAAAAAGAAAAAAAATAAGTCAAAACAAAACAGAAAACCCACATTTTTTCCAAGTATATAAAACAAGGAAGTGATTACATACAGTAGAGTGGCTGCATACACGATAACATGGCAGGCATTATGTACTCAATATCCAACCATGCAGTTTTGTAATTAATCTTGTGATAGCAATAACTGAGCCGTGTCAAGCTTCTCCTTTGTGATCTATGGCCCTGACATCACACTTCAAGGAGAAATAATGATGCCTTTTTCAGAGCCCACGTCATTTTATTCTGACTATTGCTTTGGCTGCTCTATGGATAGGAAATTCAAAAGACAAGGAAAACCAGGAAATCATCAGGAATGGATTTGCACAAAGAATAAAAGCTCCTATGGCTATAAATGTGTATTGTTTGACATACAACTATGGCATACATAGGAAGGAGAGTCTTAGAAAAATGCTAGTTACACTGAATATGCTCATTGGAACATGACAGCCATATTTCAAACAGTTCTAAATAAGCATACATGGGAAGACATGTCCAGACAAATCTTCCAAGAGGAAAGTAATTTGAGAAGCCTTGATTAATTAGAGTTTCTAAGTGAAGGTGAATACAGTATGACTTTTCAAGCCCAGGAAAAAGAAAGCTTTTGCACCTCATCAACTAAAATGAGGCATGTCCCCTCTGATAAGGGGATATCCAAGAAGAAGAAACATGAGGAAAAATGGGAAATAAAGAAGAAAGATAATGTAATGTCTAAATACCTAGCACAAATTGGCTCTCTAAACTGTGACGGACATACTGGCCTGCAGAGAGAGTCAAATTATTAACAATACCATAACCAACACCACATAAGCCATTAGTGTCTCTTGATCAACATATCCACCAATTTCTGTAGCACAATGACAAATTCACAACTTGCCTACAGTCACACAACATGGCATGATTTTTTCTGTATTTTTAGGAAAATAGAGTGTGTTCAGCTCTCAACATTTTTAATCTGCTTTATGAAATCCCAAATTGAACAATTTCTGTCAACAAAAATCTTCGGTAGCTGTTTACAGCTTTCAGCTGATGAAATAAGATGGTTTTCAAGTAACCAAAAATTAATGTTGATGAAACAAAGTAAAATTATTTAACATCAGTCTCCTCCCCCTCTTTTTTCTAGGCTGTGAAAACCTTAATTATTTAGGCAAGAATAGCTGTAAAGTAATCCACAATGTCCATCAATCATATTCTTTTAAGCCTCATAAACCAGACACACAGTGAATTTACTTCAGTTAATTACTGTTGTAAATATATTACTTATAGTTAACCCAGAAATGCATCTTAAATTACATGGGATCCACTCCCTAGGCCACACCCGACTCCACCAGCACATTTACACTCCTCTGTCAATTCACTTCTGCTAACTTATCAGTCACTGTTCAACATACAAACTACATCACTTCATCAGGATCCATCACCCAACTGTGCTTGAACGGCCTGACGAATTGGATAGTCTTTCAGAAAAAAAAATTCCACCTACTCTCAAGTATAAGCAAAATAACGAGAAGGTCTAAATTTAGCCGAAGCCTTTACTCTTTGCTCGGGCGGTTGGTCGGGAAAGCTTCCCGCTCGGCAGACAAGGTGGCTGACCTGGAGGCGCGGCCGGGCTGTTCAGCACTCTGGACAGCTCCTACCCTCCCGCCCAACCGTTGACGGTGGACTGAACTGCAGAACACTCCTGTTCATTCATCTAGGTTTGTGTCCCACCAGAAGTTTGCAAGACTTCACAGCTGCAAAATTGAGAAGGTCTGAACAAGAAATGTAATTTTACTTAAAGGAAAGAAGGCTATCACGAGACAACATAACTTAAATAAGCAAGTAAAAGCAAGATGTCACTACACGTGCCCCTTCTGCACGACCTCATTCCTTCAGTGCCCTCAAAATAAAGGGTTAATATTGATCTAGAGCACCAACACATCATGAAGGTTTCTCAGAAATTAATTAAATGTATCAACACAACGTGCTACCCTGCTCTACACTGGTTGGAAATTTAGCTGGCAGTCACACAGCAAAGAATCAAAGACAGATGGGACGAGAGGAGCCACCCCTGGAACAGATCTCTTCAGTTCCAAGTTAAGGTGTTACACAAAAGACCTAAGGGATCTATCTGCTATGTGAACAAAATTCAGTCTTCAGAGCTGCCACTGCATACGTTACATTCCAACAAGACCAAATTCATACACAACATCAGAAAAAAAAACAGCTAGAAAAATGGGGGGTTTTGGTATCTTTTTTCCTCAATATGCGTCACTTCCTCACACTCTAGATAATCAGACTTAGAGCAACAGCTTCTAAGTGACATTTTGATACATGTGCCTCACAAATAACAGAAAACACAACCAATTTGGTAAACATTTTTTGGCACAATTCACATTACTTCGCTAGAAAATGACTTGTCTGTCGTAGAATTTATCACACTTCTCATCAGCTTCTTAACTTACTATACACATATCCCCATAAGAGAGCCTTCCTTGTCAGCAGAAAGCTTGTTAAAAAATAAGTCTATGTACTTTGCCCACAAGAAGGGATTTAAAGTCAAAAGAAGTAAACAAATGTATGTTGCCTGGAGAGAGGGAGAGAGACAGAACAAAACAATTTTCAAGGTAAGAAGGCTTTTCTGACAGTTGCAGATTCAGTTTTAAGGTTACAACTTCCACAGCTACCTAAAGGGAACTGAACGTTCATCTTCCTCGGACAGTTTAGAAGTACCAACATCAACACCTACTATTTAAAGATAACATATCATCTGGTACAAAGTTATTACAATAAACCAAAAAATTAACAGTACTTTATTTCTCAGATCTTCTTCCAGATGTAACCAACTACCAATTAACAGACTGCTTGAACAGTATTTCCATGGAGGAATGCTGAAAGTTTCTGAGTAATGTAGTTTTTCTGGTCTGGACTTCTCATTCCTTCCACTCAGTTCACCGTGCCTGTGGCGCCTCTGTACTTTTTCTGATGCAGCATCACATCTTACAACAATCAATACGTGGGAAATTAGTTTCACATTTTTCATTTCATACAAGACCTTTTTCTGGAGTTTTTATAAAACAAGTTAAAAAAGAAAAAATCAATTCCACTCTTAACCTATTATTATCATTCACAGTCAAGTTTTAGACTTACCTTATGTACACTTTTAGGGTTTTCAAGCCATGCGTAATACATTTCCTCCACATAATTTGAATTACTCCCACTCAGGAATGGTTCTGAGGTTCCTGATGAAGCATACCGTTGGCCATGTGAAAATACCCTTCCGGCTATATCTTGCTTTTCCAGGAGTTTAGTGCCATGCCTCTTCAGTGTAGCCACAAATAACTTCAGATGACTCATGTTTGTTTATTAGATCCAAGTCTATTAATAAAGAGAAAAACAAACCTGATCAGAAAAAGAGACAAAAACTGATGTTTACTGCAAGAGGGCTCTTCAACAAAGCTCAAGCCTAAGCATGAAGCTCTCTTCAGGAGAGAGGCCACTCCATGACTGATTGAACGGCTTCACCTACAGAAATGGAAGTATTGCTGACGGCAATCCCCACATCAACTAGCTCACCTCACAGCTTCTGTAACTGACAACATTGTCCTGGCTCCTGAAGCAATCATGACAACACTTGTACCACGTCCCCCTGAGCCCGGTTCCCTGGGAACAAATGAGTCTGCTAATCATTGACTTTTCTGGAGCTCTTGGCAACCATAACTGCTGCTTCTTGGTTGTAAAAAGCTGTGGCCTTTTACCCAAACTGGGGAAGGTTCAAAGAACAGCGTCAACCACAAACACAGTGATTGAAAAAAGCCTGCTACCTCAAATTTATGCCATGAATAGTGGAACTGACAAAATAATTAAAAGTGTTAGTTAAGTGTTCAGATTGACACTAGCCTTCAACCAAAGAATGTTACACCAAGAAAAGGCTCAGTTTAATTTCTTTTCCTAACTAGCAACATTTATCTTGTCCTTCCACTGATCTCTTATTAGCTTTTTAATGAGTAGAGCAGATTGCATGCATTTTCAAACACAGTGAGAAAAACAATAAGGGTTGAATCTTAGGAATGCTTAACACCATCAGCTCCAGTCCTAGCAAAGGGAATCAAAGCTCACCTTCAGAATAAAAAGAACAAATACAGCTTATAATTAGACCAAAAATAGTATAATCATAATACTGAAGTCACTAAAATTGCAAAGGAATAGCAATAATGTGAAAATAAGTTATTAGTTTTGTTTTCACATTAGGAGTATTTGGAAAGCTACAAAAATATTAAGGGTAGGATACTAATTAAGATCAAGAAAAACTCTGATTTAAGTCTGAGGTGTCTCAAATTTGTTTTGTTGTCCATCTAAAGAAATAACTTTTTTGCTCAGAAGGTAAAAGTCAAGTTTTTCATTGTTTAGTGTGACTAGTTGAACAATTGCTAAAAACAAGCAAAAGTGCTGAGCTGCCAAATGAACTCTGAAGTGTTTTAAAAACAACACTGTCACTTTGAGTCACAGATAAAATTTTATGCTATGTAAAGATTATTTTATCTATAATTCAAGAAATAACAGATACCTTTAAAATTCTTTATAAACATTCTTGGTATGTAAATTCCATTGAATTATTTTCTCACTGTTTTTTCTCTTCCGCCTCTCCCTCCAAAAAAGGAAACATATGGTTATAAAATTCCTAAATTTGTAAGGGATAAGAAGAGCTATGTTTTTATCATCTAATTTAAAAATTAATACTGGTCTTAATTCAGGCTCCTACTGAATAAAACAGTATTACTGCATGCTCTTCTCTGGCATCACATTTTTAACACGACATTTTTAACTCGACATCTATTTTGAAAGCTGCTGACTGGAGCACTTCCCTAGTTGCTGACTTTAACCGTATCATGCCAGCAGTGAACTCTTCTCCTTTATCACACCAAATTTCCTTGTCTCCTCTCTCAAGACTTCTGCAGCCTTTTTGCTCTCATCCACTAGCAGATCTGACGCCTAGCTCTCAACACCAGCTCCCATCATCTGCTTACTGAATTTTCCAAACAAGCACTTGTTCACACTCTTCATGGTGCCCAGATACATGGAAAATATTCTCCCAAGACAGTATTACCAAAACTAGTACACCATCCTCCTTTAAGCCTACAAAACCCTCAAAATGAAACACTCTTCTCTCCTCACTTGGCATTTTCAGCAAATTGGCAATGGTTAGGTTACCAGGACGCTGAATATACATTAGCATCATTTGCTATCTACCTATAGTCACTTGTCATTTCCCATTTCACAGATCCAAAGCTTATTAGATTTCCTCCTGTGTCAACACCCCATGACTGGGGCTCCTAGACAACTGTAGGAACATAAATACTACCAGCACCATTTTGAAAGCAGATTAAGTCCTGCAAAAGCTCAGAGCAACTGGGACAACACTGACAGAGTCAGTATATTGTCTGCATACATAATTCTCTTTTAAGATGTAAGGGCACTAAAAACACTATGCATGCATCACATCATTTTGCAAAACTCAGTAAGATTTCAACACGTTATAACAGTAAGAACTGAGAAGTCACCATGGCACTAAGGACTTTATGTCTGTGCTCATTTTGATAGAAAGAATTATTCCACCTATCTTATTCCCTGCAAATCCCACGCTCTACTACCAAACTTCTGCACATATACCTGAGGGGTGGACACTCATTCCTAAAGGGTTACCTACCCTTATTTAAAGTGCTTTGCAAAGAGCTGGGAGAGAAAGGAAAGAGAGAAACATTTTTCTCAGTTTATCATACTACAGCAGCAAGCCACTTAAATACAGGTAATTTCACATTCTTTCATCCTAATATGTCTGCCTGGAGAATGTGTGGATCCTTCTTCTAGCAGTTAGCAAAGAACACATAGCAAAATAACAACGATTTGTCAGGGAGATTGGAAAATGGATGCAAGTGACATAACATATAATAGAAACAAAAAGCTTACAAGCAGAACCCATCACTTCCCTCCAGCTCCATTTACATTTCAAAATGGGGTCAGAGCCACACTTCAAATTGTAACTACTGAATACACAATCTATAAGAGTAGACATGTGCTATGTCACTCCTGTGAAAATATAAAGATCACGGGTGAAGAAAAGTGTTATCACAGACATTATTCCCATCTCATGAAAAAGTAATGTCTCCATTTTTATGCAGGTATGAAACAAAAATGGGCAAAGCAGCCAATCATGTAATTCCAGTCAGATTTCAACTACAGATTAATTTCACTCAAAAAAACTGACTTCTTCCTAGTTCTTCCTTTTGCACACACTGCTCTTCAACACAGATGTCACCTGTCAGCAGCTAAATGAATCGGAGACCACCAGCATGACTACATACCATTCCAGCCCACTCAGCCTTAAGACTGTCAGTCAAAAATCAGCACACAGGATAGCAGGCAGAATTCTGAAATAGTTAGGATTGCTCCACTCCTCTATGTTTCCTAAATCAACCCTGAAATGAAAACAGTGATTGGCAAGGAATAAAGCTGAGCTAAGAGCAACCTAAAGGAAGATATTAATTAAAACTCTACCAGAGATCAAAAATAAGAAAGAAGCAGTGAACCAAAAGAACAATCTGATATTTAATGCACCAAAGCACCCTTAAAATGGTGGAAATAAATGAAAGCGCTAAGCAGCTGAAAATTTCTGCAGATATTTTGTAGTATGGCAAGTATGTCTCAAGCTATGAGCTAGCTTTCATCTTGGCACTTTCAATTCTAGAAGTGACCTAATGTCATGGACAGTCTGGTGAATTATTCTACCCATGTTTCTAGAGGGTAACAGAAGCATATGAAAAAGAGACAGCAACACACTTCCAACAGTGAAGTGTTTATCTAGATTTTTTTCCAGATCATTTGAAACATAAATAGATTGCACAGGCTAGTATCACATGAATCAACAGTCTCCTGGTATTGCCAGTACTCTTACTGAGTTTCTTAACACACGCATATGAAGTCCTGCTACCAATGCTGACAGATGTTCTTTATACTCTACAGAAGTATATATTCACATAAGTTCATACTCACAGAAACACTCCTTCATCCACTAGCATGACCATTTTCTAATGAAACAAGGTTGACAGCGAAAAAAATGGATGCAGATAACAAAGTATCTCCAAAGCCTGTCACGAATAACTGAAACTAGACAGGCATGGAATATCCTTATTAAATAAGGCTACTTCAGGAATATATACCTCCACATTTTAAATGTTTCTTTTACTTCCAGCACAGATGTGCAATACTGTATAAAGAAGCATAATTCTCCATCCAAAAAGTGGACCTGGAGGAAGTTCACAAGCCGTGCCTTCACCACAAGGCATGTACTGCAAGTCCTGGGCAATGGAGGCATCTCCAGGCAACAAAACTACCCAATATGTTACTCTCCCCTCAAAAAAACAAACAAACAAAAAAAACCCCAAAAAAACCCACTTCCAGTGGGTACCAAAGGGATAGCATCATCACAGACTCTAGGCTACCACAATGATGTAAAAGATCAGCGAAGAACTATCTGGAAGAGGTCGGTTTCATTCTTCTGCCCCTGCCCATAACGCAAGGACAGTTCCTTCCATAGCCACCAGGCAAAACTTTGCCAGGCCAGCATCCTCTTCACCTTGGCCGCGACCAGGGGCCGGAGCCAGCGAGGATGCCCAGGGGCTCCCGGCTACGACGGGGCTGAGTGAGGTACTCCTGGAGCCCAGGCCAGGAGGGCCGCCTTCCCCCTCAGCCCGAGCCGT